TGTCCTTTACACCCCACTCCCATACCAGCAGTGTAATGAGCATCACATGCTGCAGAGCAGGTTATTAGTCATGAAAAAGGAAGCTCTTCTCAAATTAGGGGAAGCAAACTGAGCAATGGCAGACTCCAACATCCCTTAACTAAGCATCACTTAACTGTGCCAACCTACATAAACCTCCACTTGCGAACAGAGCTTAGAGAAGTCCTCCAGCCACCAGGAAGGTACAAGTGATCACTGTCACTACTCAGCCTCACTGCCCACAGGCACAAGCCTGCATCATCACTTGGTGATCTTTCAGGCAACGTTTTAACCTTTTGGCAAATGCCACTTACATTTGAGGGAAAAGTCCAGGTCACCAAAATATCGAGGTGGGGTTCAGCTCATCCAGCTCTACACATCCCTGAAAGTGTGGATATTTATTCATGTCTGCACTACCTACCTAAGACTCCTTTTGCAACCAAACGGAGTACATAATTAAAAGGTGCAATTCAGTAGCCTCGAGTAAGCATCTAGACTCTGTCTGCTCTGAGTTACACCCTAGAGCTGCCTGTTTCTCTTCTCCACGCGAGGAGGAATTTGTTGGTTTCAAAGCAGTAACTTTTCATCAAAGAGCACAAACAAGCTGCCTGGAGGAGTGGACATAGCCCTGGCCTGGGCAGGAGTCTGGCAGAGAAGACAGGAGCACACAGCTGTGAACAGTCATCCCAGGAGCACTGCCTGCAGAGCATTAAGTGATTCTGCACTGGAAGATGCAATGCCAGGTCCCAAACTGTTCCAGGCCAGCACAAGCACAACCTTCCCCAAGTCAAGATAGAACAGGCAAGTTTGGCCATAGTAGCCTTCTTCTTTTTATTTTTTTTTTTTTTTACAGGAGTAAATTTATGCCAAATTACTCAAAAAAAAAAAGCTCCACTGTCCCCAAAAACATTCATGCTACAATTCATCTCAAGCTCATGTTTTTCATTCCTTTTCTCCACAGTAATATCCCAGGTCAATCCTTGGTTTGTAGTTAGTAAGATAAAGCAAACACCTGTTTGAGTCTTTCTGTATGTGCATTGAAAAGATAATTTTATGTCATATTTGCACTGATTGTGGCTGTACTGAGTTCCCATCATGTGAACAAGTCCAAGGTGCTCCAAAGGAGCATGTGCAAGTGCAGGGGAAGGATAGGGAAGAAATAAATCTGAAGGGGGGATCCAGGTACAGGCACAAAGCATGGCATAAGGCAGGACTAGTTAGTCCTTAAACTTAGTCTGCCCTTTCCCTGCCACACAGCATCTGGCAAGGCATTCAGGAGATAGCTCAAAACCCACTCATAGGCCTTTACAGATGGGACAGAGCAGAAGAAGGAAGGCCACTGACCAGGCTTGCAAGGCGAACTGGTAGTGTCTTCAATACAGAAAGCCTCTGGATCCATACACACCTGAATTTTCCTAGAGCAAAGTTAAATACTCCCAGATGAAAAAATACTTCCCAAGATGCTCAACATCCCAAACCAGAAACCAGCCCAATACTTCATATTACAAGCATGGCTCCCCTTATTTGCTCCAGATCAACTTCAAACTCGTTGCCTTTCTTGTAGCCTACCTCTCACTGCTCCATACTCTTAATATGACCAGGTCACCCAGATGACATTGACATGGGGATAACTCCATCATCCTCCATAGTCCCAAACCCTGCATCGACACTTCTTACCGCATTAAATACAAATGGGTCCATTGTGGAAAAGCCCAGCTGTTTGGGTCTGAGGTGATTTTAAAAGAATAGTGAAGGTCTTTGCAAAAGGTATGGGAGAGGGCAGTTCAGCTTTTCCCCCACCACCGTCTACCTTTTGGAAACAAGAAACTGATCAGCAGGCAAGGAAAGCCCTGCAGAGGACAGAGCAAGCACCTTCAGAATCCTCCAAGTGTCCCTTCAGACACAATTGCTCTATTTCAAGCTTTACTTCCAAATTACGCAGCCCACCTTCCTGTCTCTTGCCTTCTGCCACATCTGCCAGCAATATGTCCTTTCCCCCTCTATGCCTTCGCTTTTCTCTTCAACAACCCCTCAGCTTCCATGTTAACTCTCACATCTGATAGCTCCTTCCATTTCCCTTCATCTTTAAATCCTTGCAGTGTATCAGTGCTGTGATACCAGCCCTTTCCAGAAGATACCACAGTCTTAACATGGTATTCACACATATACTCTCTTCCCTAACATGACTTGGGTACTGCTAAACACACACCTTCTTCTTTAAGAAGACAGGAGCTGATAAGGACGAGGGTCTTACACATCCTCAGAGGCTATCACTGCTTGCGTTTACAGCTTGCATGAGTGTTATTTTGGTGCAGCAGGAGAACCCAACACTAACACCGTCTGTATTTTTTGACTTTCGGGTTGTCAGTACTGCAACATGCAGCACAAACACACTCAGTAAACCAGCACTTTCAAACAGCTCAAGCGATCTACAGTCTTAGACAAAGTCATCTACAGCTATTTCTGCCCTTCAGCCACTCTTTTGCAGACACCCAGTTCCTGCTCATATACCTCCAAAGGACATGCCTTGCCTCTTGCTCCTGCAGCCATTTTCCCAGTCAGGCCTATCTGATGACCAAAGTCACCCCTCAGGTCATCCGATAGTCCTGTTAACAGTTCATAGGCAAGTGGCTTTTCATTATCCAAGAGTATTTTCATGTGAATAGAAGTTCAAAGTTCAGTGTCTCTCCTCTGTAATCTCATTACCCTCTGAAATCTGAGTCCCCATTGACACAGAGAGATAACAGCAAGAAGGCAGCAAAGGTCTGGATTCAGTGTTTCTAAGTAAGTTTAACACTGATGTGAGCAGGGAGCACAATAGGATCAAAGTAAAATAAACAACTATGGAAAGCCAGGTCATTTCAACAGGGCAGTTACCTCTCTGTTCTGCCAGGGACATATTTACCTGCAGTAGGTAGCTCTTGTGAACTTTCTACTTAAACTTCTGTACTTTGTGTCTGTCCCTTCTCTCATTAGTGAGGAGGTTATAGTTTCTCTTTAAGATGAGGTAGATAATCAGAACAAGGAATAGGCAAACAAAGATTGCTAGGAAAAAGGATTATGTCTCCTTATCCAGGATTAAGAAATATTTTTACATCTTCTTTCCTGCCCAGAGTCCTTGGCATGCCAGTAAAAAACAGTGAAGCAAACCCTACACACCTGTATTTGCCAATTCCAGGCATGTGGCAGCATGTGGGTGCAGCAGCAATGCCAGCCCAGCCGTGATGTTTAACTACTACCTTCATTCACATCCTAGCTGCATTTATGAATATTTGGAGACCCTCAGTTTAGATTTAACAGGTTTTCTTGAAGGTGTGTCTTTTTGGGAAGGCAGGGGATGAGTCAGGTTGTCCCACAAGGGCTAGAAAACACGAGGACCAAAATCTTCCCAGTTGAATGCCTATTACCAACACACACAAAAGTATGCAAGAGAAGTAAGATTTATCCAGCCTGGTATAGGTTAAATATACATTAAGTATAGTAAATGCTTAGAAAAGTTTATAAAATGCAAGATGTACAAACCAATCCCTTACAAGAGAAGCCAGTTCCCATCAGTTACTGCTAGCCCATTGACAAGATGTTTTGTGTTCTGCCTGTGATCTACATTGGGAAGACACTTCACTAGCAGATTAACCCTGTGCAGACAGCATCATCCCTGCTATGCTTCTCACTGTGTGGGGCCGACCCACACCAACCACGTACTCAGTCACACAGTCACCATCTCAGAGCGTATCCTCACCAAGGATTATAGATACCGTATTGTTCCCTGCATAGACAAAGGGAATAAAACCAGTCCCATATTCCCTGGTTTTCAATCAGTGCTTTTTTCTAGGAAGCAAAGTCACAAAACAGCAGCTTCTGAAATCTGAAGAGAAGTGAAGTAGTGGGTGCTTGGGTAGCAGAGTGAAATTCATCTTCAAACCTTTCTTTACTTTGGGAAGCTGTGCTACGCCGAGAAAGACCCAAGAGCACTCAGATGCTGGAGTCCAAGAGCAGCATGCACAGTATCTCCATTTAGAGATGGAGGAAGGAGTAGCTGGAGAATTACAAACCAGTGAGCCTGGCTTGCATGCCCAAGTAAGCTCAAGAAAAAAGTTATGAGGGCACTGAGGATTTCTAAAGTGTCAGTTTTTCAAAACTACCTATTTTCCTTTCTGGCAGAACATTTAACATAATGTATAGGCAATTTCGCAAATAATTGGGTATTTTTTTTATTAAATGAGGTATCTGCACACACTTCCTACATTTTATTTTTTTTAATTAAAGGTTAGGACACTTGACTTGCCTCCAAATATCCTACCTTCACTTTCCTCTCCAGATGGGGTAAACAGGAAATCTTGCATAATTGTCAACATCCCTTATACCAGTTTGGCATTGACATGGTGCCAAAGGAGCATTTAACACCTTTGCTCTTAAAACACCCCAGGAGCTTAATTGCGATTGGAATTATGACGAGGAAAAAAATAACAGCCCAGTTGTTGAGCAAACATTAGAATGAATTGAACATTTTATTTCTCAATCAAGTTGTCTTTGTGCTGCTCTGTGGAGTCACCTTGCTTCCAGAACAAGGTCGGAGTAAAGCAGAGCAATGGGCCAAGAGCATTTGCTGTGTTTTAACAATGATTTGGCCAAGTAGCACAGAAGCAAAGTAATCAGCCCAGCTTGGTTCTTTCAAAACCCTGGCCAGGAGAAAAATGCTTAGTTCTGGAGAAAACGGTCAATCCTAGGGGGAATCTACATACAGCGCCACAGAAACTGTGTAACATTTCTGTGTGGATAACCAGTCTTTCTGCTCTTTCACGTGTGGGCTACTGTGCGAAACTATCCTCATGAGGCATTGAATACTTAATTCCTGGTGTCTGAGGACTAACTTAAGGCTTTCAATCGCAGTGGTGGAAAGGCCACATACCTCAGAGCAAGACACCAAAACACCAAAGAACACACCCTGGGGAAGTCCCACAGCAGAGGAGCAGTCCAGGTCATCACTTACTTAAAATGTTTATTAACATCTGCCATATCATTGCTGGTACATCACTGTAACATGAAAAGACAAACCACAAGTCAGATTCTGCTACAGGAACCACCCAGTTTTGAAAATCCAGAGCTTGTCCATCAGAAAGTTCAACAAAACTGAGCTCGAGCTTGAAGAGGTCTATGGGAAGTCACAAAAGCTATCCAGGTGTAACACCAGCTAACTTTATCTCTCTAACCTATTGCATCAAGGCACAGGCCCACAGGAGAAGGAATATCTTCAAGTCCAAACAGGAATGCTCTCACATGTGGATTTAGAAATCCTCATCCAGATAAATTCTGCAGTTCATTGGTCAGAGTTACTACAAGATGCAAGCACTTCTTCTTTGTTATTTAACATCAGTGTTCAAGCAGCATAGAAATTCTGTGGGATCCCTTTCACACCCAGGCCTGTTACCTGTTTAAAAAAATTAAAGAAAGGAAACAGAAGAGTCTCCACTGAGTACAATGAAAACCTTCAACTGTTTTACAACAAATACTGTAGCAACCTGCTCCTACGTGGAGGTTCCCCTGGTTCAATAGAAGACTAAAAAGATTAAATGGAGTTCTTTAGAACTCACTAAGTTCTTTAAGATAATCAAGCACCACTCAATAACTTTGCTAATTTACACATTATGTGCTGCCCTTACATATGGTCTTTATGTCCATAGTAACCAAACAATTCATAGTAACTTCTAATGTGCTTTGCCCATGGAAGACATCTGAGTTTGGAAAATACCAGTTCCCTTGTAGAACTGGAGAACTGAGGAGGAGGTAAAAAGAGACAAGGCTCATTTAATTCTCCTGGGGTCCTAAACTCTGCTTCTTGAGAAATCTATTAGTTCTCAGCCAAGCAAAATCTGTTCCAAGCACTGCTTTAAACCAGAAAGTCTCCGATTTGAGGCTAGATCTCCATCCCTCCTGGAACATGTTTTCATGCTATAGCCAAACTGGCTGCAGTCAGCGTTCAGGGAATAATGGCAATTGATGATTAAGAACTGCATTTTACATTCCTGATATACTTTTTGCTAATTTTTTTGCTAAATAAAGAGAAAACCAAGTTTCAGATTTAAGAGCAAAAATGGACAAAAATGTGTATTATTAGGTTCTCAAAACACATAGCAACCACTTTAAACATATTTAAAAAAAAACCTCCAAAGTTTTTGGGATTGGGATGCAAAATTTTGACGTTGTGAATGTAACCATTAAAAGTTTAAAGATGCAATCTGTGCTGTAAACATTACATTTAGATTTCCTGGCACAATTAAAACCTGAGAATTAAGGAAGTGAAATTTCCAGAACTGATGAAAATAAAGTAAGACATAGGAGGAAGTCCCAGTTCCTTACAGTGTATTACAGACTATGCTACACAGGGCAGATTCAGATCCACTAGCTGCTTTCAGATCCCAACCAGATGCCAACTTTGGCTTAGCAACATTCCAATCTTCCTTCCAAATGCATGAGCAGCTGTGCAAAAGCAGCTGTACCCAGCTACAGGACAAGCAACACATCTGGACCAGCAAATCAGGTGAGCAGGATGAGCAAAGGCAGTTGGGGCACCTCACCCGGCTTGGCAGGTCTGAGATACAGAAAGAAGATCTGCTGACCTTGAAAATCTCTCCCGCATGAGGTTCCTTGGCTAAGGTGGTCTCGTCCAGTCCATCATATGCAGAAGTCACGTACATTTCTGAGTAGTCTTTTCCACCAAAGCAGCAAGAAGTGATCCTCGGAGTAGGCAGCCTCACAGTTTGGATTCTTTTTCCTGGGAAAATGTGCATTTGTTTACTTATGCCATATAAATATTAATGCATACATAGCACAGATACGGCATTCACTCAGAAGGAATCTCCTCTTCAGACAGAGGCCACATCCTAAAGGACAGCTTGTTGGGAAATAAGATTCTTTCATCTGCCTCATCTCTAACTATTTTTCACCCTCTTCCCTATATCTGTGAGGCTTTGTCTCCTTTCCTCATAATGAAGTAATACACTATGTAAAGCCAGGAAGAGCAGAAACACCTGGCCTGGCATGGTTGTCATTCCCTAACAGAGTTTCCCAGCTAAACATTTCAATGCTGAATTCTTTCTTTTAATTAAATTTAATTAAGTTTTAAATTACATATAATTAAGAATTACAGGTTTATAATATTTCTCACAATAGATATGCAATGCATTTTTTAATTTTCTTTTAGTGTACTGTTAGGAAGTGGGTGTGCTACATCAGCAGGTTCCTTGTGGGAGCAAGGGTACTTGACACTGGGAGGCTGTGCTCTCCATGTGATCAGGGTCTGGACCAGTAATGCTCATAGTAACACATGGAGCAGAAACAGGCAATAAGTAACACCTTCTTGTCTTACCTTCAAACCATTCTTCCTTGCTCTTGTATTCATGGCACATAGGTGACACTTGATTCACATGTACTGATGGATGCCTTACCTGTCTCTGGGTCTATACGAATGACTCTCCCGCCATCAATACAGGCCACCCAGAGCTTCCCTTCTGCATCTATGCACATCCCATCGGGCATTTGCTCCTCCTTTTCTAGGTGGTACAAAAGTCTGGGGCAGGCTGCAGGGAGAGTTACAAAGCCAGTGTTACATGGGGTCCTATGAGTTCTGTATCAGATCCCAGTCTATCAGTTTTGGTTAAGCCTGGACACCAACTGCTAATGGTCTAGGCTGCAGTGCAGATGGGTTGGTGGGCCCATGGAGCAGTGCATGTAGGCAGCAGTCTGCCTGCTCTGATCCAGTGCCTTATGTCATTTACATCACCGAAAAATAGACAGCCGTTGGCTTAAAGCCAAGGCTAGGAAGTTCAAATTCATTACATTTGTGTATTGGGGTGGAGAGTGTGAGGGAAAGGAAGTCGCATTACATCTTCTTTAGAAATATTATATCATAAAATCTGTAGAGATAGATTTTCTCTGCAAAATGAGATCTGAGAGAATGTAATTATTTTGTATGGTTTTCACCCATAATTACACAAAGTCCACACTCATCAGCGTACAAAGGTAGTTCCACAATTTAAACTCCCGTGAAATACAACCGGTTGATACAGCACAAAAGTATTTCACCAAGTTTTCAAATGAGGTTACATCAATTTTGCTTGCACTTAAATTTTCATTTTTGCAGATGTAATCATAGAATGTTTTGGGTTGGGAAGGAAATTTAAAGACCACCTGATTCCAACCCCCTGCCACAGACAAGGCCACCTTCCACTAAACCAGGTTGCTCCAAGCCCCATCCGGCCTGGCCTTGAACACTGCCAGGGATGGGGCAGCCACAGCTTCTCTGGGCAGCGTGTGCCAGTGCCTCACCACCCTCACAGGGAAGAACTTCTTCCTTGCATCTAACTCAAATCTCCCCTGTTTAAGCTTGAACTCATTACCCCTTTTCCTATCACTACAGTCCCTGATGAAGAGTCCCTCTCCAGAATCAAACAATATTTGTCCAGAAAATTAATCAAATGAAATTCACCAAACATCTGGGGGCAATTTTCATTTCAGAATTTGGAAACTTCAGTCACAATGATAACTTGATTCTTTAAACACAATTCTGTGATACACATACACATACATTCCGTATTTGTATTTGTGGAACTAGTACAATCACAGCATTCCAGTAGATGGCACTGAAGAATAAATAGCGTCCTATAAGCTAACTCACTCTACAGTATAAATGGCTTTTTCCCTGCAGCTCCTTGAAAGGGTCTAAATATGATCCATCTATTCAGATGAAAGTAAGTTGAAGGAGTGCCAAAAGTGTGTTCACCGAATACACCTGGTGTGTAACTAAATTTGACAAAAGTCCCGGTCAGCCTGCTGACAAGCTGTACCCAGGAGCTATGAGATCTGTCAAACAAATCATCTTACACACCCAGGTCTTGCTGCAGGAAGAGTGATAGCGCTATTTGTCACCGAAATTAGGAAAGCACTTGTACCAATCTTTCCAGTGTGCACATCGTAGCTGAAGGCATGCACAGCGTATGCCAGGCTGTCAATGTGAAAGAAGGTCCTGTGGTCCAGGGACCAGTCCAGACCATTGGAGATGTCCACCTGGTCTAACTGTTTTATTACTGAGTGGTTGGGGAAAAGGGTATAGAGAGCTCCTTGCCGCCTTGCTCGGACCCCTGGTGCTGTTTCTTCAGCCATTGTACCTGAAACGGAAATGTGAGTGACAGTTAGAAAGCAGAAGCTTATTTTTCCTCAGGCTTGATCAAAAACCTCCTGTAACTGTTAGGGAGAGGCCCTAGGGAGGAAGGATCTGCCCATGTCCCATCAGATTAGTGAGAAGGATTAAAAGGTGCAGGTCAGGAGCAGCTGCCTCCCATGGAGGTGATTCTGGCCAACAAAAGGATGAGTTTCTGCATTGCCATGAGGTTTAAATCATATACACCAAAGACCCAAAGGAGCACCACAACATGTCAGAGACTGAGGTTGCTCACAGCAAAATTCAAGAGGCAGGCAAGCATCAGGTGCTCTTTTTGTAGGTGCTCTGTGTAGACTGATTCCATCATTTAAATGGGCTGTGACCTTAAAATACAGGTGCTGTAAATCATGGTTGTCTCAGAAGCAAGTGGAGAATACCACAGAAGTGAGATTTTTTTTTCCTTAATGGATTTATGTCTCAGTGTTATGCTCATTATTTAGTTTCTGATTCTCTCCAGAAAGGAAAGAGCTCTGTAGTGATGGGATGAGAAGCACTCAAGGGAGAAATTCATGCCTTCTTTTAACTGTGACAGACTGTCTCTGTTGGCTTCCTCTTTCAGAAGACTTTATGATCTTCTTTTACAACATTTGGCCAAAGCCCCTGTAAAAGCACTGATCCACCATGCACAACGAGGAATGGACATGCAAAGCAGGTTTTTCTCTCTTATTCTTGTCCTTAACTCCAGTGACATTTCAGCCCTCAAGCATAACCATGAGTCAAATGAATCTCCTGATTTTTGGTAAATTTGGAATAAGAAGAAAAGGCTGGGTGGAAAAACAAATGCAGAGCCATTTTCAGTCCAGTCAGTTGCCCTCTGCTTCCAACATGGATTTCTGTGCTTGAGTCCTCATTTATATAGGAGGAGAAAAAACACAGGGGTTTGCATCGCAACCAGTGGCAAAAGTCCCTCCTGCCTTCAGGAGGCCAAGGATCTCTCCCCACATCCCTGTTTCCCACAGGCTAACCAGAGGAGGCTGTACATGAAGGGTTCAAGCTGCAGCTCATCTTTTACTGTAGGAGCTGCATCCCCCTGCACACCTCCAGAAATGTTCCTATCTGCATGAGCCCCTTACTGGCTTTTCGGCTCCCATGGAAGCAGATGTTTGTAAAACACCATCTGCAAGTAGAAGGGGAGCCTTCCTGCTAGACAGCCCTTGTTGGCAGCCCCTGTCCTCATTTGGGTCAGAGAATGTGGGGTCCCTTGTCCTCCTCCATTGGGCAGTAACTGAGCAGAGCATCCACGAGATGGCTTACTCTTGCAACGGCAGTTTTTGTGGGGAACTCCACAGAGGAATCAAGAACACGGAATAAAATGCACTGTACAAAATACCCTTTAATTAGTTCCTCTTTGAGCTGGGGGAAATTTCTGCCAGGAACTTACCAGCAAAAAACCTTCCCTTCGGATCCACTTTCCCATCATTGAATCTGTTGTTGGGTTTATCTTGCTCGAGCTCAAGGATGGTGGTGACCGCTTTGGTGTCCCAGTCCAGAAAGGCAAACCTGGTCCCCAGGGCGATGATGTAGCCCCCACACTGCCGCAGTGCCACTGAGCCAACACGGGCATCTGTGGGCAAGAGGGAGCAGGAGATGGCGAATGGCTCCAGGCCTTCAGTCAGCCCTAATCCCCCCCACCTCACTGTGGGCATCTGGGCTTGACTGGGACATCCCTGACCTAGAAAGGCTGGGTTGATGCTAAGATTCTTATTCCCCGGGTTCATTAGCACTCCTCGCTGGCTCTGTGCTCCCCACCTTCTGGGCAGACACAGCCATTAGGATTGTAGCTTTTCCTCTTCAGGTTCCAAATGGAACATTCCATCTGGGCTTAGCAAAAGCAACATGCACATTGCTCTCCACACCTAAGCACAATCCCCTCTGATCAACTGGCTCAAGGCACACCGTGTTCAGCACCATGTCATGGGAGGACAGGGAATGTGGCCCCATGGAAAGTAAGGGAGACCACCATGCTGCGGGACTCCTACCAGGAGGGATGGACAAGAGCAGACAGAGAAGGTTCCCATGATGAAGTGATGACTATGGACTCTTACCCACAGACACGCTCTGCACCTCGTTGGTGAGTGAGCTCCAGCGGCAAACTTTCTGCGAGTTAATGTCTACATAGACGAGCGCGCTCTCCCTCTCTTCCCAGACTGGGCACTCTCCCATCCTGTTCTTCTCCTTCACAACGGATTCGATTTTGATGGAGGAGGACATGGTCTGAGAGGAAGAATGCTGATAACAGATTTAATGAACAGCTCTCATTGTGTGGATGTTTTATGCCAACAATGCCTAAAGGCAGAGTTTGTAAATGGCAAAGACCTCCAAATCCCACATGACAGAGGTTCCTGTGACATTTCCATGTCCTCATGGCTGGAACTGAGCTCCAGGCTCCAAGGCTTCTCCTTAGCAAGCCTCTCCTAGGAAGGAGACTTCGAACCAGAGCTATTAATAAGGCACCTGCCTCCAGACAAGGGAGTGCTAGGGATATATCCCTGAGCCAGGACCAAGCTGTCAACCAGAGAGTGATGATCCCAAAGCTTTCCCTGACCCATGAGAAGGGGCTGTGGGCAGCAGCACTGATGATTCAGGTGCCTTTTTGTGGAAAAACAAGGCTCTTCCTTATTAACACAGATGCTCCGACTTGCTCCACAGGAAGATGTAAGCCCATATACCATCTGCAACTTGCCACTGATGCCACTGCAGACCAACTATGTTCCCACACAGAGCCAGTGCGAATATGCAAACACCAGGGAAGGATCCTGCCTTTGAAATCCTGATGCTTTATTTTCCCTCCGAGCATTTCATCGTCATCAGCCCCCTCACCGCCCTAGCCATGGCTCCAGCCCCTGCCACAGACTCCACATCTCACCCTGTGCCAGGCTGCAGGGTGTAATTACACCAGCTGCAGCTTCGGGGCAAAGCCACCTATGAAGCTCCCATCCCAGGCGGCTGCTCCTGCCAGGGGGTGTTCATGTCCCATCCCTGTTGGGGCAAGGTGCCCAGAGAGACACCAGACACTCAGCCACCACCCTGGAACAGGGTGCCAGATCCCTCGTATTTGTGTTCAGAGCCCACTGATGCCCTCCAAAACAGGTAGATCAGCCTCTGCCCCTATCTCAGTGTGGGATGTGAGCAGCAGCATCCACCATTCAGCTCTTACAAAAGAAAGGGGCCTCCTCACTGCCTCAGTCACTGCTAATGGAGACACCACTGCTGCTGCACCAACTGGCCTCAGCACATTTTTTTCCACAGATCAGAGAGATATTTCTTGGGAGGCAGCCAGTCCCTGCCATAACACTCTTCCTACGGATTATTGTCTTGAAGAGGGCATTTTTTCCTAGTAGGTGAGCTGATGGTACAGTATACAGAAAATTAATTATCACTAATGCTCTTCAAAGTACTGGGAAGAGCCAGTAATCACCCTGAGTGGAAACTCCACGGCTGGGGACCCAGGATCTCCCCTGCTCTCCAATGCCAGGCATGCATAACAAGGAGTCACACCACCACCACGGTAAGATCCAAACAACCCATTTATCAAATATATCCTTCTCCCTTCCAAGAAAATGGCCATGAGGGGCTGGACTTAAGCTGCTCCATGCAAGAAATCAGCATCAGTCTCAAGCATAAATGAGGATACCCAGCAAGATGCCAGTAAAACCTCATAAAACCTCTTAGGCCATGCTCAAGCTGGAGAATTGAGTTCTCTTGGGTTGAAGTTTTGTGTCATGTGGCTGCCATGTTTGGGACTCGAGGCTCAGAGACACAATGCTGACTTTATTGTATTGTGGTCTGGAAAACACAGAGTGGCTCTCACCCTCATGGGAAAACAGGGCTCAGCAGCAGCCTGGCATCCATACGGCTCCATGGAGAAAGGAAGTCTCCAGATCTGCAGCAGACGGTATTTGTTTTGTTTGCTGTTTCATTGACACAACTGAGCCTTATTAAACCTCTCTCTTCCCACCACCACCTGCTCAATTTACTGCTCCTTCTCCAGCAGCAACAAAACCGGGGCCCGGCAGATAATCCAGAGTGAAACACTGATTGACGGACCCATCCCGCATGTCACATGAGGCGTATGCAATCACATCACTGACAGCTATTTCCCAAGGCACAGGCAGAGGAGAACCCAACCCGCGCACACCAGCTGCCTGCTTACCCTTCTCATGCCCCCCCGATGATGCTGCCTACCCTTCCCTGTCCCATGGAAACTCAGCACACATCCGCCTTCCCCAGCTGCACATCCAGCCTCAGCATTTCACCCCTTCTCCAAAGGATTAGCTCTTGTATGTCCCTCCAGCTGTGGGTTCCTTTTATTTTCAAATAGCTGAATATTTTGGCTCAAATTTGCCCCTTGCTTTTAAGCAGAGGGCAACCAAAAGGGAAGATTTGTGCCTTTCTGGCTGAGGTTTCACTAATTTTCACAAGCAACTAAAAAGTGAGAATTTTAATAGGAAGTTCATCCAACCCTAAGAGGCAGCACTGTCACCCAAAAGAGGTCTCACAACCTGGCAGGGATGCAGCCCCTGCTCCCCCTCGTGCTTGGTGGTCCACCTCCCTCTGCACTTTCCCTGCTTATACCGTGTGGAGCTATATAGGAGCAGTGTTCCACAGAATACAGCATCTCAGAGGGAAATATGTGGAAATGACCACAAAAAACCCTGTTCAAAACATCCCAACTTCACCACTCCCCAGGCATTCTGCTGCCTGGCACCTTTCTGTGCAAGGGGCACCTTGCACTGACTGGTATGCAGGGGAAAAAAAAAGAACCATTCCCAGCAGAAAACACCAAATTCTACTGTATTTTCCCCAAACAAATCCCTGCGGATAAGAACATTGTCTTTACCCTGCCTATTTCCTCTCTGCTACGTTTTGTTGGCTTTCTAGCCTCCTGGACTCGTGCCTAATCCTGTTACACAGACTAAGGGGCCGATGGGTGTCACTGAAATGTTTTCCAAGTTAAACTGTTTAAAGTTACAGAATTTGGAGACCATAAGAAAAATTTCCTGTTAGGAATGGGAAACTAAAGTAAAAATATCCAGTCAGCTCTTAAAACTAAAGCCTCTTTCTGGTAGTTATTTGAAGATAGCTTTTCTAATCCTCAGTCCACATCCCTTTTCAAATGATTTGGACATAAAGTGGTCATTTCAGTACCTCTCAGATACAGGTAAAAACCAAACAAATGACTGGCCTTAACAGGTTTTCTTTACTGTTTCTCCTCCTCTCTCCCCCATGCAAGCACACATCATTCCATTTTTCATTTCAAGCTGAAGCAGGCAGACAGCTGAGGCTTATAATGTGCGTACAGCGAAATAACCAGCAGTGAAAACTAGGGAATCTTAAGAACCCTTTTCCCTCGATCCGAGCTGGAGGACGCCTATGTGAAACTGTGCAGCTCATCACAACAACACACCTGCAGAGGGAAATATCGCAACTCCTGGGCTGGTATCTCCTTTCCAGCACTAGTCCAATGAAACCAGCTGCTGTTTTTGGCGACAGTGAACAATGGGCAATAGCTGATGCTATCTGCACCGAGCAGGTAACCTTTTAGATTTTGTATTCATCCAGCAGTCACATGAATGATGAGGCATGGAGCAAAGCCCTTCTGAATGGTCTGGTTCCTGGTGCCAGCAGCAGAGCATGTGATAGGAAAAAATCCTTGCTCAGAGTTTCTCTCATGTCATAAGAGCAGGAGAGGAAAACGGAGACATTGCACCACTCGGTCACCCCGAGGGCTAGCCCACTCTCCCCAGATTTAGAGGCAAATGAATGTCTGGGGTGATAAAAAGGGGAGGTTAATAAAAGATGCAAGGGAGGGTTTTGTAGTCACTTTGAAGGATAAGGAAAATATACTCTTGTGATTAAAGCATATTAGCATCATTAAGATTTGGAGGTTGTTCCCAGCTGTGCCACAACCTTCTTGTGTGCAAAGAAGAACCCGCTCTCCTTGCAGGGCTTCTCACCTCCTACACGCAAAGCCTGATCCCCACCTCAGTGAAGAGCTGCGAGCTGTTGCCTGCAGCACACCCAAGGAGGGCTTTGCCCCAGGAACCTCCATGATTGCCACGGATGCTGCAGGACAGCAACCTCTTGCTTGGATTTAAGACTTTTTGGTTTTTTCTTTCTTTGGCATTTGCATTTTTTCACCTGTGAGAGATGAAGACAGAAGATGACAAGTGCCTTCTCCAAACCAGCCCTGCTCAGCAGAGGTAGGTGATGGTGGGTACCCCCCACAGCTGGTCCAGCAAGCTGGGGACAAGGGCAGGTTTGCTATGGAGACAGAGCTAGGGGGAAAGGCAGGAAGCAGGCTGCTGCTGCCAGTCACTGGCCTCACCATCATCAGAGAGGGCAGAAGCCACCTGAGAGGAATCAGACCCAGCCCAGCATGAGAGAGCAATGCATTTCTTTACTAATGCAAGACTTTAATGAACATGTTAATTTGATGTTCAAATGATTAACAGGATGAACATTTCTCCCAGATAAGCAAATAGCCAAGATGGACCCACTATTATCCTATCACAGTCACCATTGAGCCACATTTGGAGGTTAAAAAGTTACAGCCCTAAGCCAGAGACAGATTCAACCATTTCTAGCAAAAGAGGCAGTCATATTTCCAAGCTGAGCTCCTGCCAAGTCACTGCATTATGGGCAAAGTGGCTGTGAGCTCCTTGAGGACCCTTTTCAGTCTTCCTTGGCTCCCCAAGGTTCCAACTCATTTCAGCACAAACCCTGTGTCTCTGCTCGCTCCGACAAAACTTTTCACATTACTCTGTTTTCCTTCTCTTAACCTAAAAGATAACTTTGGAGGGAGGTTCATGTAGAACAATATCCATTTTCTCACAGCATTCAGATGGAAGGTATATTCAAAAGGAAAATTCTCATTTACTATCATTTTAACTGCTTTTACATTGAAAGAAAAGTGACTGGTTCTCTGGTGCAGGGAAAAAAAGGTCTTTTTTTTTTTTTTTCTCCGCAAAGTATTTCTCAAGGCATCTTTTCCTAAAGGAATTTTGGCGGAGAAAACCAAATTTCCAACTCAGCAATTTTTTTCTGGTGACTTGACTGACTTCCCACCACAGGCTGCGGCAAAGCAAAACCACGTCAGGCAGGGGGATAAAGCATTTGCCTTGCCGCAGCTAAAAAACCCAATGTGCTGCTTTGCTGCAGAGCAGCTCGGATGCTGGATCATCGACAAGCAGCAGCACCAGGCAGGGCAGCAGCTGGGACAGCGCTACCAGAGCACATCTCTCTGATTTATTTAGGTGGTTGCACATGCTCTGGGAACAACCTCACTGCATTTTGCACCATCTCTTATTCCTGACCCCACCAGCATCTAGACTACCAGCATCACATCTCCCACCCCTTGCGCACCACTCCAGCGTCCCCTATGCCATCCTTTCCAGAGGTCGGTCACTTTAGGAGGAGACACATCTCAAAGGCTCTGTGGATGCTGCTGACAAGCGGTGCACCCCTGCAGTAGCAGGTGCATGTATTCGTTGCTAGCCAGCCCACTATTCCTTGAATTATTTCCAGAACATCAAGAGCCTGTCCCTGCCATGCACTCCAGTTGTTTCTGATGTTGCAAAGCAGAAGTTTACAGAGAATTTGGCCACACGCATGCACTGTCATTAACAGCACAAAAATAAAATCTGAACTGTTAAAAAATTCTTATTTCTTTAAACAAATCAAGCTTTGAGTATATAAGGGGAGACCTTGTAACAGTCTTCTAGTACCTAAAGGGGACTACAAGAAATCTGGTGACGGACTTTTTAGAAGGTCATGTGGTGACAGGACAAGGGGAAATGGCTTTAAGTTGAGAAAAGGTAGGTTCAGATTAGATATTAGGAAGAAATTCTTCACTATGAGGGTGAGGAGACGCTGGCACAGGCTGCCCAGAGAAGCTGCGGCTGCCCCATCCCTGGCAGTGTTCAAGGCCAGGTTGGACGGGGCTTTGAGCAACCTGCTCTAGTGGAAGGTGGCCCTGTCCATGGCAGCGGGTTGGAACTGGATGAGCTTTAAGGTCACTTCCAATCCACACCATCCTGTGACTTATGATAAAGGCAATGGTGCAACCCTGTACTTCTGGCTGACAACCCCACCACAGTGTTTCCTTCTGGAGTGACCTCTCTCCTTTCCCACTGCTTTGGTTTCCTCTGATGAAACTCCTACCACTTCTTTTTTTGCGGTGCCTAGTTTTTATCAACACAGTGTACCTGGGAGAGTGTATCAACGCATGAGTACACCACATATATCAATGTGGTATCTAAATAATTGTATTTGTCTTCTGTTACCTACAGGCATATATTCTGTTGCATACAGGCTCAGACAATAGCTGTATTTGTTCCCACGGCTTTGTAAATATTTAGTAAGTCCATCACTCCCCTCTTTTTTTCCCAGCTCCTCAAATCACACTCATGTTGCTTATACCCCTTGTGGGTCCATCCCAGTTTTTGTTACACTAGAAACTCAACTTTTCATATGATTTGATTGTTCTTATGTCTTAAAGTCATTCTTCACCTAGACAGAGTCATCCTCTGCTGCTGTCTCCCTTTTGGAGATGACAACAGGCAGGGTTACAGTTAATGAAGACACAGTTATTAAAAACCCATGCCAGGCAG